TCATAGACCAAATTTCAATAACCACAATTTTGGATCTACTCCTTTGACCTTCGACTACACGGGCTGATCCACGTATGGGCAAACCTAGTCAATTGCCTAAGTTGAATTTTTGGTGTTAAGTAGACTTTTCATATAGTTAACATGTGTTGATTAAAAATGAATATTTATAAAAATGTAAATACAAGTATTTATTTTAAAATTTTAATTAATTCTTAAAAATCAATATTATTATTTTTATTTTAAACAACACACCTCGCCTTTCAGATTCAACGGTATTAAATTATAATGTTTTTATAGGCATGTCAATAAAACCCGCAAGGTCGGGTTACCCGCAGGTTACTCGCATTTTCGGGTTGGGTAAACCCGGGATGATCGGGTTTCGGGACGGGTTCGAGTAGAATCATGCTACCCGAATTCCGGATCGAGTCGGGCATGATAAAAAAACCTTACCCGACCGATTACCCAACCCGTTTACCCGCAAGCATCAAATCGTATACATGTATATTTGTTTAAATATATATATATATATATATCATATTTTAAATATAAAAATAAGTTATATCTTATAATTTGGTTAATGGGTTAAATTTTATTTTATTGTTCTATTTTTTTTATCAATTTCCTTTTAGTGAAAATCTAAATACTTAATTTTTAAAGGTTATATAGTTAACTAGACTATAAAAAATAAATAATTATATCTCAATATTCATTCCAAAAATAATATAGATTGTTTATAGTCATTTTATTGCTAACTTAGTTAATAAATTGTTAGTTACATTATATTTAATTGTGGAATTATTTTATTTATTTTTATATAACATAAAACGGGTAGGTCTAGTTGGGACCAAGTAAAACTCAAATTTAAGAATTTCGGTTACCCGTTTACCCGACGAAGACCTGATAACCCATTGGGTAAAACCCAACTCGAAATTATATGTGTGTCGGATAGGGTAAAATATATGTGTGTCGGGTTCGGGTTTTCCAAAACTCGCACCCGGCCCAACCCATTTACATCCCTCTATTTTTATCTATACCATACAATAGGCTTCATATATAAATTTATGGTTTTCCAATTATAATTTATCAATATTTGAATTTTTATTAATAGAGATCATATAGATTTAATTATTATAACTTATATATACAATATGATTGTCAAATTATATATCTTCAAAATATGATTAATTTAAATTTATCATGTATAAAAAATGATAGCATATATAAATGTTATTAATTAACTTTAACAATATATTTATAATTTAAGTAGGTCAAGAGTTTAAATTTGAAAGCTCTGAATAAAGATCCATATTTATTTGGACTATTTCGAATCCTTAGAATATCCATATCTATATGGACTATTTCAAATCATTAGAAATTAACATATATAATTACAAAGTGTGGGAAGTTGACACTGAAATTAACTCTACATTTATACATAAGGGATAGTCCATAAAGAATTCTTTATAAAATAATAAGAACAAAAATGATGACATTTAAGTTTTTCTTGAATTAATAAATTATATTTAAAAATGACTTGTCTGTAACTTATTACAAAAGCATGAAGGAAAAAGGATTGTAAAATATTTTTGATATATTTCTTAATAAATAATAAAAATTTAGAATAAAATAATCAAACATCACTCTCAATTTTATTTTTAACATCAAGACAAAGACAAATTGAATAATAAATCCCTTGACACCAGATTGTTCTAACGATTTATTTAATTGTTAATATAAATATTTTGTAGAGCCCTGCCCTGGCTCATGAAAACTTCTGAATCCGCCGTTGTTCGACTGGGTTGGTGTTTGGTGGCCCTCTCCTCTTCGCTCTGCCTCTCTAGCCAGGAGTGGTTCCAGCATAAGCGGGCTTCGTCCGCCTCGCCCCCACCTTTCCGACCTTGGTCTGAGGCTGGTCACGGTGCCTCCTCTCCTTTTTAGAAGTATTTTGTCCCCGTATGTGAATTTTCTTTAAGTTTCAGTTGTTACTTCTCCAACCAATTAAAGAGACCATTGACAAAAATGTTGTAACAAAACAGGAGTAACAGTGAAATCAAACTCTCAAGTCACCTCAACATTGTAAGAATTCATAGGAAAAAGGGAGCCCAACCTTTATATACTATTAATTTCACTTTGCAGGATCAAACTAACAAAAAAAAAAATAGATAAGATGGCACTATTATACTGATACAACTGACCACGAACATCCTATTCAAGAACCCACCCAAATTCAACTAATGATAGTTCAGATGACTGTCATATAAACTCATCAAAGGCAACGATTAAGTCGTCATACAATCACCCAAATTCATCTAATGATAGTTCAGATGACCGCCATACAGTTACCCTTTTCGAAAATAAAAATAAAAAATTTAATTCTAATTTTTATAATTTTAGTATGAGAAGGCGGGGTGTTACAATTTTGATCGGATCCTGAATCTGGGTGGGTTCAACGCAGATATATTTGTGTTTTTGAACAATTTTGAGAGTGAATTTGATGTTTATTTGATGACTCGATTACAATTATTCATTGGTTTTTAATTTATCTTATTTTTAGTTTATATTCATTTTTTTCATTCTATTTTTTTTTTCGTGATTTAGTATAAAATAGATAATGAACTTAAGGTAAATCAAAAGTTAAATTAGTTTTAAATAAATTTTAGAGATAATATAATAAAGTTAAAATAAACTGAAAGTAATCTAAAAGAGCTGTTGAAGAAACAGTAATGCTAAGGAGCCAACTGTTGGCTCCGTACCGTTGGCTCCTTAGCATTATTGATTGAAGAAAATGACGTTGATTTAATCTAGAAAAGACACTCAAGCAATTTTGAGAGTTAATTTTGATGTTTATATTCTATTACGATTACTGGTTGGTTTTTCTTTTATTATATTTTTAGTTTATATTCAATTGCTTTTTTTTTGCATTCGATTTTTTTGCTTATTTATTTTTTTCGTGATTTATTAAAAAACACATAATAAACTTAAAATAAATCAAAAGTTTCAAATTAATTTTAAATAAATTTTAGAGATACTGAATAAACTTAAAATAAACTAAAAATAATTTAAAAGAATTATTGAAAAAAATGACAAAGATTTAATGTAGAAAAAGACGTTCAAGAATTGAATTGGAATTGTATTCAAATGGTTTTAGTTTTGGAAAAGTTCATTCAAGGTAAAAGATGTATCTCTTAGTAGTCCACAAAGTGAGATTCTTGGGTCTCCCCCATTTCAATCCACAAGCATTGGTGTGAGTACTATGTGAGTACTATGCTCATTTCTTATGAACTTGCTACCATTTAATCATACTGTGCTCATTTCCTATAAACTTGCTACCATTTAATCATTTGTACTAGTTATTCAAAAACATGTTGTACCATTAAATAAAAAAATATCCGACATTTAATAATACAAAAATTTTCAAAAACATTACTTATCTTAATTAATAAAACAAACTTACTATAGTCTGAATTTTCAGTTACTAAATAAATGTTAATTTCAAAGTTTAGTTTATATATGCATAATTGATAATAGATTGAATCTATTCATTATGAAAATATTTTTAAAATATTCTTTAGAAAAAAAAAAGAGTATTCTAAAATTTTGCTAAAAATATCAAACATGATCATCTTTTTAAAATATTTTAAAGATTAAAAAATAAACTCTACATGATTAAAATTAAAAAATAAAGAAGCAATTAATACTACCGACTACATTTAAGTTTGTTAAACATGAGTTATTATTGAATAACTACCAAAAGAGAGTATTTCATGAATAAACAAAGAAGATTTCGTGAATAAACAAATATTTTTATATGTATGAATTATTAATCTATAGTAATTTCTTTATGTTGTTCAATATAAAATAATAATGGGTCGAGAAGTTATATTAGTAGTATTAAAAAATATAAAAGTTGATGAGAAAGAATGAGTTTGTGGATTAGAGAAAAAATCACTATTTGATTTGACAGTTACTGCAAAATGTGTTTGAGAATGAGTTTTGCAAAATATGTTTGAAAATAAGTGACACTCTTAGAGGATGATTGAATCGAATAAATTTTTGTTTTGTTTAGATTTTTTTGTTTGGTTTGATTAGTTTTAAAAAAGTTTGTATGGTTAGTTGTTAGTGGATATATTAAAATATTATTTAAAATGAAATAATTAAAGTTGATTTGATGTAAAGTAGGAAAGATAAGATTTGAATTGATGGTTAGTTAAAATTATGTGAGTAGATGAATAATGAATTAAGGTTGATGTGGTGTGTACGAATGATTGATTGATATTATTTAATTATATTGATAATATTGATGATAATAAGATTGGGTTAAAAAAGTGATTGGGCTAAAAATGTTTCCATTTTTTTGAAAAATTTTGTATCTAATCATGCTCTTACTAACCCGACAAGTTGGTTGAATTTATTTTTCTTATTTATTATTGCATTTGAAGGTTATTCACAATCTAGATGGACAACTCAAATTTGTGTTTTAGTAAAAATAAAATAAAGGACTTTTATTGCAAAGCAAGAGGATAAATGAGACTAGAATATATACAACACTTGAAATGTTCTAGGGGATTGTGGTTCTCGTATATACAACACTTGAAAAAACTTTAAAAAAACCTACTGTCTGCAACTCTGCATAATCAGAAATGTGAGCATTGAGTTGGCTATGATACATTGATACTCATAAAAGACACCCTACACCTTATTTATAAATCCAAAGAAAGATTATGAAATGGTTGTCGCTCACGCAACGGGGACCATCTTAGGATCTCATCACAAATATCCACAAATAGATGACCCGAATCAGGCTTGCCACTTCTGCACTGCAACAACCGCTTGTACTCGCTTATAGAGTTGAATATCCAGTGCATAGATTCCACTTTCATCCTTGCATTGCCAGTGGTTTTATTAAAGGTCCCGTCCTTGAACGTGAAATACCAATCGTCCGCACATGTTTCTTCTTCTTGGAAGCTAAACAATAGTTCACGTGCCCCTACAAGTTTATCATCCCGCACCACAACATCTGTTTTAAGGTCATCTACTGTTGTTAGCCATGGAACAATGTGCTCATGCAAAACGTTTTCTAAAGCCTTCCCACCTTTACCCTGCAAAGGCCCATCCAAGAAAAAAAGATTAGCAAATCTATACACTCAACACCGTGTCTGGACGAACATAAAATATCTATTTACAAACTTTTGTAGAGCCTCAAGGAATAAAAAATTTAGCACTTCATCATAGGCATGCACAATGAGTCTTTTGTCTCCAAAGAGTTGGCTAACAATTTTCCTCAGAAGCACCCTTAGAACACTCCTGTAATTCGTAAACCTCTTGAAAATAGAAACTTTATCAACCGAATCTAACAGATCAGTGCCCAACAACTTTTTCGCCTACAAATTAAAAGAAAAAAGGAAATCAGTCACAACATGATCCAATTAATTTCTTTCATTCTAATTCTTACAAATAAATAAATTAAGAGATCAAAGACATTTATTTTGTACCTCGGCAAGCGCTCTTTCGGGACCACTGCCTTTTAAAACGCAATCGTGAGTCGTACGAGATATGTACGGATTGCTCAAGAACTGATTCCAAAGATCTTCGTTTCGGTTATGGCACACACATCACAAATCAAGCTGATCGGACCCCACACCTGACGTCATGAAGATGACCAAATTAGAGAAGTCAACAACATCACTTGCCTGAGCTTCACCATGCATAATCTCGAGGTTATATAGCAAAAGTCCCGAGTAAGGACGTCTCGCCACAACTCCCGTCAGACGACCCCAAAAGTCCTCTTGTTTCTCCGTCGAACTAACAAGACAGGGAAAAAAAACAAAAAAAAAAAAACAAAACTGCGGTAAGCAATAGCAGAGACCCCCAAAACAAATTAAGTCTTTCAGAGTTTATATAGCAAAATACCATTCGGTTGTTTCCTCTGCATCATAATCTGATAAGTCAATCTCTACAAGCCTGCTCGCATCACAGTACCAAAGCTCGGCAATGGCCCTGGCAATATCCATCTTACCAGTTCTCGTGGGGCCCAGTAAGAGAAAAGAACCCCACGGGAGGTTATTACTGCCTCGCCTTGTGGAGACCAATGTTGCTAAATTTTCATGAATGGTGTTGTTTTTTTCCAACAGACCCCGACTCATCATATAAATCGCCTTCTTCTGGTGGTCAATAGATGGCAGAATTACAGTAGGGGGGACATCAGTCAGGGTGCTTACCACCTAGCAAAAAATAAAAAAGACAAAAAAAAAAAAAAATAGAATCACGACATAGTAAATGTTTGGTAAGGATGAGCGTAAGATACGGATATATCCACAGACAAATTAACCTGAGCAACATCAACTTGACTGACTGTTAAGTGACGCCCGAAAGCATAATAAATCAGTTCAACTTGAATCATGTCAAGGAACTTAGCAATTCTACGACTAGACCGATGTGCATAAGCATTTTTCCTTAAAATACTAATGTTCTTAGCACAATCTGAGAACAAGACACCAAAACCTTTAGGTGGTGGTGACTCCAGAACAACCTCCCAACTAGTTAAAAACTCGCCCATGAAAGAGAAAATTGGATATTTGGGACTCCAAAGAATGGGTTTCGCAATTCTGCCATCCGAAAGAACGACCTCGCAAATTTGGGACTCAGAACAAAAGATCCTCATTTTCCATGCC